GGAAGGAAGGAAGGGAGGGAGGGAGGGAGGGAGGAAGAAAACTGTCTTTTTCTACATGGTCATGATTGTCTAGGTAGAAAATCCAAAAGAAAAAACAGAGAAAACAAAACTTCTGTAAGTTACAAGTGATTGAAGCAAGGATAGAGTATACAAGGTCAATATACAAAAGTCAGCTGCTTTTCTACATATTAATATGAAGTTAGACAATAATAGCATGGACTATAGCAGCCAAAGTATGAAATACTTAGATATAAATCTAAAAGAAATGTGTACATGATCTATATGAGCAAATCCATAAAACTCTGACGTAAGAAATTTGGGAAGAACTAAATGAAGAGCTATTCTATGTTTAGGGATGGGAAGACTCAATACTCTGGAGATAGTTCTTAGATTCCCTGCAATCCCACTCAAAGATCCAGCCTATTGTTTGTGTGGATTTCACCAAAGTGATTGTAAAGTTCCCATGGAGAGGGGGGCCCAGAACAGTCAGCACAATATCGAAGGGAAGGAACCAGTTGGAGAACGAACTCTACCCCACTTCATTCTCATGATGAAGCCACAGTCATCAGCACAGGGAGGCTATTCCTGAAGAAATAGAACCGACTGTTATGAGTGAGATCTATGTGTAGTCTCATTCGCCACATTTATTAACCTCTTAACAGGGGACATTTCATTGTGTGCTATGAACCGAGAACGAAGGTATGCGATACCCGCTTTCTAAAAGTGTGGGAAACGCAAATAATACACGAGCTATAAAGATGGAATGATGGCTCTAATATGATGACACACAGGGGTGCTTGGGAAATGCAGAGGAAGGAATCAGAGGAGAGGCCTGGACGAAGAGTAAGAAGAGAGAAGGGTTGGGAATCTTCCTGAAGAAGAGACAAAGTTCTAGCTTAAGCAGGAAGGGGTGGGTCACAGTTGGCCAACCACACAGGAAGGGAAATAGCTTTGAGGACAGGAGAGGATGCCCAGATGCTGACCCCGCATTGTGGTAGCTCCCTCTATCCCGAGGAGATGCAATAGTTTGGCGTCAGGAAGACCTCAGCAGGCGCGGCAGTGAGCGTCCAGGCTGACCCCCAGGGACACCCAGCCACGGCCTCCCGTGCAGCGTGGAAAGGACCAGCACGTGCCTCTCATGTTGGGAGAAAAATCTCACTTTTATGATCATGTTAAGCTTGGGGCTGGTATGAAAAATCCAAGATGAATAAATTGAATTTCTGTTTTAAAAATAACTTTTTAGCATAAATATGTGTCGTGCTCTCTCAGGGACAGACGGGCCAATGGGCAACTCCAGTTAAATGGCACACCAACCAGATTCCCCCGTGTCCTGGCTGGCCCCTTGGGTGTGACCTTGTGAGAATCGGAGCCGAGATGCCAGTCAGGCTGAGCTCAGACCCCAGACCCACGAGGCCTGTGAAATCACAAGCGGGCGCGGCTCCTGCTGCTCCTGTGCGGTCACTACAACAGGCCTCCTCTCGGTCCTCTCCGTGACCTGGGGGGTGCAGGAGGCGTGGGTGACCTGGGGGTCAGGTCTGTGCATCAACAGGGGTCAGGAGACCAGTCGCGGGGATGATGTCAGACACCAAGCCCCGGGAGGGACAGGGAGATGGTGGGGGGGGCCTCAGCCATGCCTGAGGGGACTGGCTCCTGAACAAGGTGCTGAAGGAAAGTTCATGCAGGACCCAGAGTGTCCCCGGGGAAGAATGAGAGACTCAGAAGTGACCGGGGTCTTTATGACAGGGTAACTTTACCAAGAAAATGGATCCTTGTAGGAAATTATGAGCTCCCTGTTACGGCAACTGTTCACCTCTGCAGTGATTAGAAAGGGGGCATATGTTGCATTACACAAAGGAACAGAGACTTGATCTTGGTGCTGCATGAGCTGTGTGGATGTTAGTAAGTTCCCTAACCTTTTTGTACCTCAACCTTCATGTGATAAGGTCCCTAATCTTTCACAATTTCATGGGCATCACATAGATGCAATGGCTGAGGGACCTGTACCTAACAACACGTTCAACAATGTCATTGTGAGGACACTCTGTGGGGCTGGTGCTCTGGGTAGAACCGAGGACCCCCAGAGCGGATACCAATGTCCTGGGGAGCGGCTCCCGGGGTAAAACAGGCCACGACCCAGCCTCTCATGAGTGTGGACTTACAGGAGCCTCCGCCAGGAAGTGCTCAGTGCCAGTGCAGCCCAGCACTGCGCTCCAATGAGACCCAGTACCGACTCATTAGCAAAAACTTAGCTGTCAAAGCCTTGAGTGGAGCTCATTTAATAGGCTCATTCCACACAGACACGCCCCTCCCTCCCCAGAACATGGACTCCTGGACTGAGCTTTGAACCCACGTGTTCCGATGAGTAGATCATCGATGGGCACTGTTCTCATTGACGTGTCATTGGCTCAAGACAAGGCCCAGGAGACACAAAACAAACACGTTTCCCAGTAAAAGTGAGAGACTCTATACTAATGGTCGTTAACTACCGAGTCCTCTCATGATCCACTGACAGGAGTGACCCGCACATACCGGGCGTTAAGTGAATATTTTCTGCGTGAGTCACAGACGCGATGGCATTCCCGGGCCCTTCCTGGCGGATATAAAGCTTCCAGGGGAGGAGGCAACATTCACACTCAGAAACGTCCCTCTTCGCCTCAACCCAACCCTCACCCTCTGCCACCATGTGCTGCAACTACTACGGGAACTCCTACGGGGGCTGTGGCTACGGCTCTGGCTATGGC